CAAACCCAGACCGGAGGCATCTAGATGTTCATCAAAAAGAAATTAGTGAGCTGCGGAGATGGCAGAGTTGGTAAAACACACTTGCCTCAAAAGTGTGACAACATGTCAGGTGTGTTGGCACACACCTTTAATCCCAGCACATGGGAGGCAGAGGCAGGTGGACCTCTGTGAGCTGAGGCCAGCCTGGTCTACAGAGAGAGTTCAGCACAGCCAGGGCTGTTACCCAGAGAAACCCTGTCTTGAAAAACAAACAAACAAAGACAGGAAGAAAGTGTAGCAACATGATTTCAATTCCTAGCACTTGTGTAGAAAGCTGGGCATGGTAGTGTGTGCTGTAACCACTGTGATGGTGAGATGGGAGACTGAGACAGAGCATCCCAGTTCTCTGGCCAGCTACCCTAGCCTGTTTGATGTCTCCAGGCCAACCAGAGTCACTGCCTCAAACTAGGAGGTACCTGAGGAATGAATGATGCCTGAGGCTGTCTTCCACCAGCCATATGCACGTGCACACACATGCACTCTCACAAAATTTGTGATTGGAATCGCCAATGCTTCAGAAGACAGAGGGAAATTGTTCTCTGGCATCAATTCCTGGTGCTGGGGGGGGGAAAGGTAAATAAAACATACATTCACAGGTCAATAGTGAGATGAATCTATATAAACTGATGAAAAGAATGCTAAGCTACAAGTGAAAGGAACCAAGTTCTGTACACACACACCCCACATATACTGAGTGTATTTGAAACTTTTATATATTATTTGTGAGGTAACTATTAAACTTTACCATCCATGTGGATCTACAATTACACCTTTTACTAACTCATCTAAATTTTCCCCAGGATAGATTAAAATGATTATTATTATTATTTTTTTTTTTGGTCTATCACATAGTCCTAGGAAACTGAATATTTTCTGAGTGCCGCCGCTTTGCCTATTCTATTGGTAAGATCCCTACTAATCTGAACATAGTTCTTCAGTTAACTATGTAACTGTCCTATCTCATGTGCCCACACTCCGTCCTATTCAATCTTAGTCTTTATAAAGCTTTGGAGGCTTTATCCCCCATTTATATTCACGCTAATCCTTTCACAACTTTTAGATGGTTTAAAAACAAAACATTAGAATGGGATTAAGATTCTCATTAACTATTTCTTGATTTGCGGAGGGCTGGTGGTTTTATAAATGGTCTTTCTATTTAATTGTCTTATAGGCTCTGCCACTCTTGGCATTGTTTTGGTGGGATAGGTCCTCCTAATTTGCTTGTGGTTGCAGGGCTAAGTGCCAACCAAAACCAAGTTTGGGAGGAAAAGGTTATTCCAGCTGACAGTTCAGCATTGAGCCTGGAGCAGAAACAGGAGAGACATCAATGGAATGCTGCTTACTGGCTCGCTTCCAGGCTCACAGTCTGCTAGGTACCTTTCTTACACATCCCTGGCCTACCTGCCTAGGCATGGCACCGCCCACAGTGGGCTAGGCCCATCAGCATCAATTAGCCATCAAGAAAATGCTTTACAGACATGCCCACAGGCCAATCGGATGGAGACAACTCCTCAGCTGTGCTTCCTTCTTCCCAGATGTACCAAGTTGACCATCAAGATTAGCCAGCACAAGGCTATTTCTAAAATTTGCATTTTCCCTTACTGTCTATTGCTAGTCTATAAATGAAAACCATCAAATGGTTTTCTTTATCTTGGACCATGCCACTTAATAATAGAAAATGATCAGCCCTCTTACAATGAAGTTCAAATTAGTTTCCATCTTATTCTTTTTAATAGAGTCTCCTATAATCCAGTCTTGGCCTTGAACGTCCTAGAACTTTGGGTCTTCCTGCCTCCACCTCCAAAGTGTTGGGATTAGAAGTGTGCACCACCACACCCCAGCTTTCTTTATGCATGGTTGTTGGGTAGGACTCAGACAGGGAAGCTTACTTCAGTTTTATAGGACTGATTTTAGATGCTGCAATAGGTATCCTGGAGGCCGGCCTTCTTCCCTCCATATTCCTGACTCATTTCTAACCAGATTCAGTTATCTGATCTCGGGGAGCTGCACATTCTTCAAAACGTCTCTGTAAGGCAGTGACTCTTAGCAACCCAGAAATGGATCTTTCAAAGGGAGAAATATGAATTTCTGCACGTGATTGGCTCAATGATTTTTACGAACTAATTTTAAAAGAAAGCCTTTAATTTCATGTCTTTTTTTGTTTTATATACAGCGGAAGGACAGAGGGAAAGCCAGCGATAGCTTTCAGAGTAAGGAACGAGATGGCACGTGACGTTTGCGGTTACCCTCCGTGGCTGGCTCTCCCCAAACCTTTTGTCCAGTCTGCATTATCGTGCTTAGGATTCCTCCCTTATGCGTCCACTCAGATTTCAGTGAGCAGCGGAGCCACCCGCAGGACACACCTCCACACCTGCTGCTACCCCTGCAGACCAATCATGTACTGATGGGGTTACTGTACCTGTGTTACAACTGCATCGAAATAAATCCCCGATACATTCAGTTGAGGCAGGACCAAGCCTCTCCCCGCTGCATCAAGGGTGAGCAAAGTGTCTGACCATAGGTAATGGGATCCAGAAAGCCAGCTCATGCACCAGGGATGGTGGACCCTGATCACGGAGGGGATGAGGAATGGGAGGGGGTGGTAAGGCGAGGCTGGGAGTGGGGAGGGGAGCGGAAGGTGGGATGAGAGAGGGAATCTGTGGTTGGTATGTAAAATGAACAATAAAAAAATTAAATAAAATAAAGGTAAAATGGGAGGAGGGGGATCCAGACGCCTCCATTGCTTCCTTTCATTAAAACAAAACAAAAAAAAAAAAAAAAAAAAAAAAAAAAAAAAAAAAAAAGCTAGATGATAAGATGTTCTGCGATCCGTTTTTTACACACAGTCTAGCTCCAGGAAAATTCCTAGGAACTGAACAGCCGCTACTTCGGGTATTCTGCCTGGGAAACCCTGTAGTAGTCTCTCTGCTTGATATCCATGCTCTAGATGCGCTTTTCTGTGAGTCAAACTTCTTGTGTGTGTGTGTGTGTGTGTGTGTGTGTGTGTGTGTGTGTGTGTGTGTGTGTGTGTGTGTGTGTTGGTTGGCTGTCTTCCTCGGTTGTTTTTCCCTTTATTTTTGAGGCTTGGTCTCACTTATTCGGGTAGGCTAGCCCCCTAACGCGCTCCAAGGACACTCCTATCTCTGTACCATCTCCAGTTATAAACACACACTGCTGTGCTCGACTTTGGTGTGTCGGGTATCTGAACTCAGTTCTCCATGCTTGCACAGCAAATACTTTACAGACCGAACTGCCTTCCTCAGTCCCCCAAACCTATCTTTTGCTTATCATTTTAAGTTGACAAATAGATAGTATTTCTCCATCCCAGAGTCTCAGCAGATGCTGCAAGAGGGAAGGCATCTTCTTCAGTGAGACGCTGCAGTCTCCACACAGAATCTTTTTTTTTTTTTTTTTTTTTTTGAGACAAGGTTTCTCCGTGTAGTTTTGGTGCCTGTCCTGGGTCTCGCTCTGTAGACTAGGCTGGCCTCAAACTCACAGAGATTCACCTGGCTCTGCCTTTAACCCAAGCAGAAAATTTAACAGTGATTGTTAATTAATATTATCAATTAGAAAAATGCAATGTACAATAGCAAACCAATTACATCTCGGTGGTGTTTTATGTGTCCATTATAATGGATACAGGATTCTCATGTGTACTGATTAATTATAAAATCAATAAATATTTTATTTTCTTCTGTATTAACATTGTGTTTTTCTTACAGAGTTTTTGGCAACTTATAAAAGTTCATAATACAATAAAATGTACATTTTTAGTGTTTTGTGGGCATTTTCACAATCTGATGCTTGTGTAAAGTTTATGTAATAAGTTTTAAAACTGTCTGGTTTAATCTTTCACTGACCTTCCTTAGACCTTTCATTATTCTCAAATTTAGTAAACAATTTACTTCAAGAATTTTGGTAAATATTGATTTCACTTTCTTTTTTTTCTTTTACTAATTTCTCTGTGATTTTTTAAGTTTTCCCATTTCCTTAATTATCTAAGATATATTTTAAAATAAAAAGTAAAATGAGGCCCTGAACTAATTTTTCTTAAACTGCTCACTACCTCCTTAGACAGCATAAGTGTCAGTTTCTCACTGACTCATACATCCTTTATTAGCACTACATGCTATTTTTAATGTGTCCTGTTTTCTTGGCTTTTTTAGTTCATTTGTAGCTTACAATCAAATTATTTTTTATTTCAGAAGCAACAGAACACATAGGAATATATTGTGTCTGATAGCATTAATTACACTTTTATCTTTGTAATAGTTTTCTTTTCTTCTATTACTTTTTCTTGTTTTTCTTTTTCTTCCAGTATGTGTGTATTGCCTATTATTTTTCTGATTTATTTTAGAGGAGCTTTGGTATGTGGATGTGTCAGGGGAATGTCACTAGAATTTTTATTAGAGTCATTCTGGATGTGTAAATTCATTTTAGAAGAAGTTATACTCATAATAGTCAAAGAAAAAAGTTTACTCTTCTGGGCTAAAGCTGCTGATATATGGTGGTGCATTTTCAGAGCACACTGAGGGTTGAGAAATGATTAGCACAGTAAATAACTGGTGGGTGTATCTGCTTGAACACATTGAAGAAGTTTCATTCTTCTCCAAAATACTTTTCTGTAAGCTGTGTGTGAGAGCGCAGGTCTGTAATGCCTGTACTCAGGACGGCGAGGCAGGAGGATTGAATATGAAGCCACCCTGAGCAACAGAGTGAGAGCCTGTCTGGTAAAAATGGCAAAGGAAGACAAGCCTATGTTGGCATCATCACCATCATGAGTACCAAGCAGTTGCCATAGAGGTAAGCGTCCAGGTAGACCTCAATGGTTGTCTACTGCAGAAATGTATATTTAAATAAAAGAAACCAAATATACATTACAAACATGTCTGTAGGGGAAATATTGACACAAAAACCTCCAGAAATTTTTATTTATTTCAAGCATTCCAACCATACCCAATTCCAAAGAACCTGGCAAAACTCAACAACACTAAAAGCTGGCTCTGCCTATGCTGTACGCATGTTGTAGGCAGCAGTTTCCTCTGCTGATTTCAAGATGACATGTGCGGATTACTTGGTTCAACACCTTTGTTTCAATACCCATAAACACACCCAGTTTCCAAAATGATGATCATCTTGGCAAAGCATCATTTTAAAGCACGCTGCAGCCGGTAGGGGACTCGGTGACCAGATCGGAAATGTCACCAACAAACTGGGCTTTCCCAAGTGGAAGGGTTGGTTGCTAAACAGAAACTGCAGAGTCTACCTGTGAAAAACATTGACATGTCAGCAGAATTGACTCTGTGTGTGGACGGGGTTGACGATTCTTTACATGGTATTCACTTCCGCCCCAAACTCTTCCCTGTGTGCCTGCTAAGGAACCTCAATGTTGTCTTGTTCTGTTAAAGTGAATTAGGGCTGGGGGTTCACATCAGGGGTAGGACACTTGTCTAACTTGTCAGTGGCACTAGGTTCTAACTCCAATGCTGCTAAAAAGGATAGGGAAGAGGAGGACAGGGAGGTGGTGTCATCATCATGACCCCAAACATCAACTTGGGCATGCGTTGGATTACAGGCATCTTTCAAAGCTCTCACTGCGAATGGCCACCCCATGCTGACCTTACCAAAAGCCCTCCCTGTGCTTGTTACATCAGGAACCTTGTCTGTGGACACAGCCCCAGGTGCGGAGGTCTACTTACCTTGCGCTGTATCGGCTCTGTTTTTTCTCAGCTTTTCTGGTTCTCCATCTCTGGAAGGTTCCAGTTCCCTGTAAATTGTGGACAAACATCATTTCCACTTGAAGCAGAGTGGAGTTGTACCCCTCCTTGCTTTAATCCACCTCTCAGTTTTATTTCAAAAAGCAAAAGAGTAGAACTTTAATGTAATGTGTTTGGTCCTGGTTGACTGTGGTGCCTCAAATACACATTTATCTAGTCTCATTTCAAAGCAGTGGCCTCCTCTGAGCCAGCCACCTGCAATGGTCTCCTCACTGGTGTTACAGAGCTGCCTTGTAGAACTCATGAAGGGTAATCCAGGAAAAGCTCTACATTTCCCCCCACTCAAAATCCTGCCGTGATTTCTCATTATCCACCGTAGATTAAAAATCCAGTTCTCTATGGTGAGGTTGACATCTTTCTTCAGCATCTATTGTGCCTGCTCCCTCCTCCCTTTCTTGTTTTGTAATGTGAATGCTGCAGCTCTATAAATGTTGGGGATTTTGTATGTATTTTCAGTTTCAACCCACTCAAAATACTTCCTAAGTTCCCTTTTGATTTCTTCTCTTATTGATTCACAGCTTATTTAGAAGTATGGTATCTTATTTCCAAATGATTATTTACAGGCACTTTTCTATTATTCATTTTTATCATTAAATTGATACTAATTTAATCCGTGATCAGGAGCATAGAGTACATGATGTGAGTCTTTCTAGATTTTTAAAATAAAAGTAACTTTTTAAATGTTTATTTTTAAGTATGTGAATGCATGTGTGTGTCCATGTAAATGTATGACATGTGTGTGTGCAGGTGACTGGGGAAGCCAGGAGAGGCCATCAGATGTCTTGGAGCTGGAGTCCCAGGCAGCTGTAAACCACCTGACATGGGTGTTAGGGACCTAATTTGGGTCATTTGGAAGAGCAGCAAGTTCTCTAACTGTTTAGCCATTTCTCCAGCCCCATCTGGGTTTGGGGGAGTCACTTTATGATCTAGACTATGGTCATTGTATGGGCATTGTAGATACTATTTCTTACCTCAGAGACTTTATTGTCCCTTCTGGCTGAAATGTTCTATTGTTAGATCTCCCCAACCCTTATGAGTCTCCATTCCCTGTCATTGTCTCTGTGAGGATATTTCTGACCTCCACATATATCATATGCATGTACAACACCAGGTATACACTCTACGCCCCTTCTGGATCCATTTTCTCAACTGCACTCATCGCTCCTGAATGATCTTCCCTTTGCTAGAGCACTCCTTCCACAAACATGTATCATTGTCCATTGTACACATTTAAATATCCACAGCACCTAAGGTAGTGTCATGCACATGATGGGTGTCATGTGAATATTTGTTAATTTGGTTCACACAACTACTTGTAAGCTAAATACTGCTGACGATACTGCCATCATTGAACCAACACGCTAACCAGATAAAATGTAAAATCAAGGCTCTGAACACCACAGTCTGTTTCCCGGGGTTCCTTCACTTGCAGTTGGCTGCGCAGTTACTGTGCTAGAGTCCAAGATGGATGAGCACCATGCTGGCTGTAAAAAGATTAGTGGGGGATGGACCTTGTGTTGTGTAATAGAAGCAGTCAGAAGTTGAGAAGTGGGAGGGTCTTGTGCCATGCTGGATGCTCAGATTTTACCCAGAGAGCAACAGGAAGGCATTGCACAGCTTAGAAAAAGGAGAGGTATGACCAAGTTGGCAAATTAGGATGCTACAAATGATGCAATTGTTTTTGTCCAGTTAGTATTTGTTGACTCTGAATATAAGACCGTTCTCTCTGATAGAGGTATAACAGAGAACAAAATGCCTTCATAAAATGTAAAGCCTAGTGCAGAAGACTAACGATAAACAAATAAACAAATACAAAAGCAATATAATTCCAGGCAGTCGTCAATGCTTTGGGGGAAAATGAAAAAGGGTACAGGAATGGGGTTGGGGTGTTCTTTAAACAGAGAGGTCAGGTAAATCTCTATGATGGAAGTTATATTTGAGCAGTGACATCAATGGAAACACAAATAAAAAACACAGGAAGCCAGTTCTTGAAAGCTCCCAGAAGATGCTCAAAGACCATTGTACTTAATGTTGTAGCACAGACATGAGCTTTCTGCTACAGGAAGATGAAGCAGCTGAACACTTGTGTTAGGAAATTGATTAGTAAATTCTAATTTACTTTGTGGGACAATTCCAGTGGATTTCTGAAAAACCTACTATGGTAGAACAAGAAAGGAAACAGTAAAACCAGTTAAGAGATCATTATCATCAAGCAAGAAGAGGGTGATGGAGGATGTGTGTCCACAGTAGGGGTGATGAGACATGGCTTGGTAGCGATGACCCTTGTGAAGTGCCCTTGAGCATGACCCGGCCATTGTCTGGTTGAACTATCAGCACTTGTGACTATCCACAAGGGAACTGTATAAGGTTAGTCACATCAACTTCCCATCACAGAGTAGGGAGGAGTTTGTAAGACCCCACCTTTTCCTAAGGATTGCTAGGTAGTTGAGAGAGACTTTTTTTCTTCAATGGTATAGCTACTCTTGAGTTGCACATGTTCTTGTAAACAACTACCATTGTTGATTTCCCAATCTGCACTTGGATGAAATCATTTCTTTGTTTCTGTCACTGGTGTTCTCCTGGGGTGAAGAGATGTGAACTCACATCTCTAAGTTCAAATAACAAGCACTGATGTAGTATTGACGAGCTTGGTGGAGGACGGGGACAAAGGGAATCTTGAAAAGTTTCCAAGTTGAGCTGGGGCAGTTGGTCAGTGGTGGTGCAGTTCTCTGAAATAGAACAATTGTGGGAGGTGTTTTAATGGGCTGTGGCCCCGCCAAATTCCTGTGTTGGAGCCCTGCTCTACAAAATGACTATTATTCAGAGACAGCCTTTAAGAAGGTAATTGAGCTTAATAAATGTCATAGGATAGAGCTCTAATCCAATACGACTGATATCCTCACAGATGAGGGAGATGGCAGGGTTGTGCGTATGCAATGGAAAAGTCATGTGAGCTTACAATAAAAAAATGGTTAACTCAAGAAAAAGGTTCCTGAAGAAATCAATCCTGCTGGCAACATGATCCTTGCCTTTCCGTCTCCAGGACTGTGAAAGAATAAACAAGTCAGTTTAAGCATCCCAGTTTTGATTTGTTATGTTATCCTAGGCAAATTAATAAATGAGTGACAGGATAGTAAAAACAATAAAGAATTCTCTCCTTGAGTTCAAAAGACCTGTTACTCTCTTAAACTGAGACTGGCTGGGCAGGAAAACATACAGCCCTCAAGCATTGAGAGATCTGAATGCTGGAGTTACAGTGGACACTCACTGGTGTGGAATATTCCTTTACACTGTGTGAATATATGTCACTGTGGTTGGCTTAATAAAGAAGCTCGAAGCCAGAAGTTTTCCTGTGTCCCTCAGCCACTTGGTCCCAAATAAACACACAGTTGCTTATATTAACCACAAACTGTTTGAGAATGAAGGGAAGAAGAAGGTCAGAGTCAGGAGTCTCAAGCAGATGCAGACAGAAGCAAGATGGTCATGTCCTACTAAGAAAAGGTGCCAAGCGATGTAACAAAGCATAGATAAGAAATGTGGGTTAATATAAATGTAAGAATTAACTAGTAACAAGCCTGAGCTATTGGTCGAGCATTTGTAATTAATATAAGCCTCTGTGCGGTTACTTAGGACTGGCGTTAGGGAAAGAAAAGTTCGCCTACACACTGGCGCAAATACATTTGGTGTAGGGGGAACACATATTCCCTGGCTTTCTGTTCCTGTGAGAATTCCACCAGTGTAAAATTCCATTGTTTCCTTTGTCACTTTTCTCAGTGGGGAACATACACATAATTCTTCTGGTCAGTATTCATGGCTTAATCTTTTTCTTGTGTATTTGGGGGTTAGGCGGTATCTGCCTTTAGAAAATATAAATATTCCCATTTTTTCTCTGATGTTATTCTTGGTCCAGTTTTCATTTGCATGATCCAATTTGCATGGAAGAGGCCTGTGCTTGTTCAAATGTTCCTGTGCTTGATGGATTAGTCAGCAACGTGACCATATTCTTTATAGTAAATGTTTTAAAAATAATAAGGGTAGTTTTTTATTTCCTGGCCTTGGGTTCTGGCTCTGTTTGTAATTGATCCTGAATTTGGTCAGCTAGATGAAGTCATTCATTTAATGGCTATTGATTGAACAAACAATAGGGTCAGACACAGAAACTTGGAATATTCCAGCATTAGGAGAGATAGAACACACATCAAAAGAGATAAGAAATGAAAATTACAGGAAACCTGGGGTAAGATGGTGGCTAGAAGCCAAGGAAAGACAGTATTTTGAAGTGAAAAGGACTGTCATTTTTTTTTTTTTTTCTGAAACTGCGGGCAGCCTGACTTCGTTGACAATATGTGAAATAGTTGGGCTGGTCACCTCTTTCCGGTTAAGCTGAGTCCATTAGTTAGTTGTCAAACAAAGAGAAAAGACATTATACCAGCGGGGGCTTCAGTGGAGCAGAAACCCCAGCTCAGCCTCCCTGAGACATTCACTTAGACATTTCTCTCCAGACAGGTGAGCAGTCACATGGGTTTTCCTAGGAGTTAGTACTCACGGTTCCTAGTTCTAAAACAGAGGAGGCCTGGGTCAGACAAGGAGTTGGTTACTTTATCCATAAGCAAGAATCACCCTTTACAAACACCTACTTACACACATGGACGTGCACAATCACATGTCACAATCATGCCACTGTGACTGTCTTGCAGCGCTCAAATTAAGCTATTTGGCTGAGAGTCTGTCTCCTTTGGGTGGTGGTATGGGAATGGATTGAGGAAAAGCAAAGGACAGTAAAAAGAAAAGGCTACGGACTCATCCACTCCTAAGTAAGGGGACTCACAGAAGTCCGTGTACAGTTGCCAATGATAAATATAATGGTTCTTCTATGTATAGAGGATAGAATATGGATAGATGTATGCATTACATTGGATGCTTTCACACATCACATGTAGGGGAGGAGAAGGGGGGAGTCTCTGGTTTGCACATCTAAAATAATTTATCAAAAGTGGGAATATGGGACTTGAGAGAAAATTTTGAGTCAGTTTATTTATGTTTAATAATTACAGTGTCTCACCCTGATGTTCTGGCAGGATTGGTCCACTTGCTATGTAGACTATAACTTGATATTATAAGCCACATAAACCCCTTCCCCCCCCCCCAACTTCGGGGTGTTTTATCACAGCAACCTAAAGGAAACTAGAACACTCAGTCACCTCATGTGGAGAGTGAGCAGAAGATGGCGGCTTAGCCGGTCAGGTGATAGTGAGAAACTGCTCCTGGTACCACGGAAGTTCCCATCACTCTTCACAGGCTGGAGGAGTGTGGGGCATGAGGCTGGGTGCAGGGAAACGGGGCTAATTAGACCGTGAGACTGGAACTATAGCTGTTGCTACACTGGACACTAGCAGAAGCTCCCAAATCATACAAATAGTTAAGTGAGATGTGTGTGTATGTGTATCTGTGTGTGTTTGTGTGTGTGTGTGTTGTGTGTGTATATGTGCTGTGTACATATGTATGTGTGTATATGTATATGTTTGTTGTGTATGTACGTATGAGTGTGTATGTTTTGAATGTACTGTGTGTATGTGTGTGTATGTGTGCTGTGTGTGTATGTGTTTATGTGTGCTGTTTGTGTATATGTGTGCATATGTGTGTTGTGTACATGTGTGTTATGTATGTATGTGTGTGTGTTTGCATGTCTGTGTGTTGGTGTGTATATGTGTGTATGTATGTGTCTGTGTATGTGCATATATATGTTGTGTATGTATGTATGTGTGTATATGTTTGTATATATGTGTGTGTGTGCTGTGTATGTATATATGTGTGTGTACATGTTGTGTATGTATGTGTCTGTGTATGTGCATATATATGTTGTGTATGTATGTATGTGTGTATATGTTTGTATATATGTGTGTGTGTGCTGTGTATGTATATATGTGTGTGTACATGTTGTGTATGTATGTGTCTGTGTGTGCACATGCAAATATTTTGTATCCTAGGGGCAGCAGTAATAGTGGTAGTGGTGTTAGTAATGAAAGGGTAGGTAGACATGTAAGACTCTAATTATGATGGTTAAGAAAGTGTGTCTATATCGTGGAATGATACACAACTTCCTTACCCTGCTATATTGTTCAGACTTTAACCCCCAAAGGCCATTTGTTCCAGGCTTTCACCCCAACTTGCTGCTATGGAGAGGCAGCAAAATTTCAGAGGTAGAGCCTCGTTTGGAGATCTTTAGGTTATTGCCATCATGTCTCTGAAGGGACTAGTGGGGTTTTTTTCTACTTTCTAACCAGAAGATGACTGGTTTTAACCCTGCACACACACTGGTGTGATGGGCTGCCTCACCTCAGGCTCACGTCAATAGGGCCAAATGACCAGAACCTTCAAAACTGTCAGCCAAAACACACCTCCCCTTTTTACATCATCTCGGGTGTTTGTTATCCCAACAGAAACCTGAGTGGCACATATCTCAACAAAATGGCATTTTTGACCAGCTGTTTCTTTGTAACAAACCTTGCTAGACGCCACTTGAAAGGGGCCTAAGTTATTTGCTCATGTAGTGATGCTTTGGCAGCTTGGGCTGGTCCTCCCGTGGCCTGTCACCAGGCTGCAGTCATGACAGCCCCTGAGGCCGGAGGGAGGACCTCAGTTACACGGCTGGAAATTGGCTCTCCCTGCTGCTGAGTATGGCCTCTCCTCTTCATACAGCTTAGCCCAGGCTTCCTTATGTGATGTTTTCAGGGCAGTGGGGGCCTGAGAGCAGAAGCCAAAAGGCTGTGTGTGCCTGAGGCTCTGAAGCCTTAAGGTGTTCCTCTGTTTCATTCTGTTCTTTAGGGCAAGTCACAAAGCCAGCCTATATTCAAGAGTGGGAGAGATGAACTCTATGGCAGAGGGGCAAGGGGACAGTGCCATGATACCAAAAGGATGAGAGCCATCTGTGAAGGGTTGGTGTTTGTCGACTAGTCACAAGGCGAATCTTCTCGGAAGACGGAAGCTCGAACGAGAAAAATGCTTCCATAATACTGGCTTGTAGACAAACCTGGGGGCCACTTTCTTGATTACTGATGGATGTGGGAGGGCTCAGCCCGCTGTGGGTGGCACCACCCCTGGGCAGATGAGCCTGTGCTGTGTAAAAATCAAACTGAACAACCCATAGGGAGCAAGCCAGCAAGCAGTGCTCCTCCATGGCTTCAGCTTGAGACTCTGTCTCCAGGTTCCTGCCTTGACTTCCTTTCATGATGCATGGTGATTGGGACATATAAGCTGAAATACACCCTTTCTTCCCCAGGCTGCTTTTGGTCATGGTATTTACTGTAGTAATAGAAAGAAAACTAAGACATCGCCTTTGTACACCATTAACTAATGGGCTGATAGGATAAGGACGTTATCTCATGTCTAATGACACATGACCATGAACTGTGATATCAGATCTATAAAAAATAACATTCCCCTAGCTATGTCCAACTGTGCCATGTGCGTGACATGTTGTAAGTTCAAGGAAGGGCAAGAATGAGGGAAAATACAGATTTGTCCGGAATTCTGGTGTGATATACATATAGCTATTGTCAAACTTACTCCAAGAGAACATTGGTGGTTGGCTATGTGGGACCAAGTGGTCAAAGAGATTGGCCCTAGGTTCTGGGACCCTGGAGTCTGGAGAGGAAATGCCAGAGACATCACTAAAGACTCTCTCTTTTGAAAAACCGAAGTGAAACACAGTGACTAGCCTACACAGACATGGCAGAACTGGGCCCATAGCTTCAATAGTCACAGCTCAGCTCCGCTTGCAAGTAGGGTTGTGCTGCTTGCTCTGTGTTAAAAGATCAAAGAAGGAAACAGGTGCTTCCCATGGTGGTTTTCGGGGGACTTGCGGATGCTCTTTTCTGTGTTCTGAACGCCTCGAGCATCATCTGGCTTAGACCGCTTCTCCTGGCAGTACATCAACAGCACCAAGCGGCTAACTAGATAGTGCGAAAAGAGTTGCCATTTCAGCAGGGGGTGGTGGATGTGTTTGCTTGGGAGGTTTCTTCTGCCTGGGCTGGTCCTGGTTTCATTTCTATTGTGGTGACAAAACACTCTGACAACCATCCGGAGGGGAGAAGGGGTTTGTTTTAGCCCGGGCTATAGTGTATAGTTACAGGGAAGTCACGGTGGGCAGGAGGGCTGAGACTGCAGGTCACAACGTGACATCCACAGTCAAAGGCAGAGAGAGATGAACGGACACACCCTTACTAGCTTGTGCTCAGCCCACTTCCTCCACTCGGAGACAGTTTTAAGAACCTCTGTCTAGGGAATGGTGCTGCTCACAGTGGGCTGGGTCTTACCAGATGACTTATTTCAGATAATCTCTGGAGATAATGCCCACAGGCCAAACCACTGTAGACAATCACCCATTGAGACTGTGTCTCAAGTGATTCTAGGATGTGTCCAATTGGCAATTAAAGCTAACCTTCACCCTGCCGCTGAACTGACTTACATCTAGCTGCCCCTCTGCCTCTTCCTCCTCCTCTTCCTTCTCCTCAGATCTGTCTTTCTATCACACATGAAGGCAGAGAAAAGTGGTGGTTTGCATTTAAAGATCTGAAGCCATGCCTTCCTTGGTGTGGACGCTAATGGTGCTTCTGTAGGTCATGAAATCTTGTAGCAATCTTGGGGGGGGGGTCGAGATTCAGTTCAACAATCATTAAATGCGGAATCCCTTCCTCAGCTAATTTTCCCCCCAGAACAACCTGAGGATTACAGAGCGGCCGGTCACTAGCTCTGGTTGTTGTTGTTGTTTTGTGGTGCTTGGAGTCCAATCTTCTTTCATTTTGAAACTTGAACTCAATTTAAAACACAGATCCATGAGTACACTGCAGTATACTTCTGAAGTAAGGCTAGCTGAGGTCATAAGATTACTGGGGACATGACTGTGTTAAAGACAATTATAACCCCTTTAATGCCTCAGATTCCTGGAGCATAAACCTAGACAAATTATTATGGCCTCCTGCAGCAGTTACAATGATTAGGTCAGTTAAGACATGTAAAACTCTCAAACCAATGCTGAACACGTGGTTAGCACAGACAAAGACCCTCAGGTATAAGCACAGTCGCTTTGGGGTTTTGATTTTTATATTCTACAAAGGACACAGTGGGAAAATCACAGAGAGAGCTTTCAATGTTCTCATTTAAAACTATCTGCCATTAAATCAGAGGAAGGAACAATGTCTACCATAATATTCAAAGGGGGATTTTTAAAAAATGTGTCTTTAGAAGGCTGTCCACCTTCATCATTACCAAGGGTGGCCAGTCTGAGCAGAGATGGGTACCTAAGGGGACATGTCACTCATGAGGGTGAACTTTGGAGGCACTTGGAAGAAATGGTCTTTGGAGGAAGAACAGCTGATCCGTGTTAGAATCGTATTAGTTTTATACCCTTCCACTCCCTGTGATGGCTTGGCATTGTGGGGATTATGTTTGGCTATTTTCTACTATTCTTTTGAAACATCCTTTCACTTCATATGGTAGGGGATGTGAGCCGAAAGTGCAGTTCCTTGACGCTTCGACAGAATACCTACTGGGTTACTCATATTGGGTTGCTTTTTTTTTTTTTTTTTGCTGTTGCTTCAGTTGAGAGTTTTCACTATCGAC